ACATATAGTTTCACTGTATATATGCACTACTACCTATATATGCACTCTACTACAAGTAGAGTGAGTAACTAGTTGTGTATACGAAAAAAAAATTAAAAATGTATATATACTTACTTTAAAAAAAAATTAAATAATATGAATCTATAAAAGGTACACAGTACACGGTCAACATTTCTTCGCCAGAATAGGTAAGCACAAGTGCTGTAGAAAAATCTGCACAAGAATGAATATATTGTGAACCAAAAGAGAATTTAAGAACTCCTTCATTCCAATTTAGTGTTCTATCCAGGTTGCATCCAAGATACCCGAAGCGAAATCTACCTATTAGCCAGTCAGGGGACATCTTATCCACTTCAAACCCTTCTCGGTCACAACCAAATCCCTAAAGAAGCTGTAAGTGCTGTACATACCGAAAACGTAGTTGATTTCTTGACATTTTTAACAGTTATTGAGCTGTAGAAAAGAAAATATAATGCAATCTTCTTTTTTTTTTTTTTTTTGTTTTCCATCTTCTTCAATTGCCTATATTTTTTGCCTTGCACTGAGGTAGTTTGGCAGAATTTGTTTATATGAAATCTCTTAAATTTATTTCTCAGTTAATTTATTGAACTCTATTTTTCGGAACAGTGAAGTAGTATTCATTGAATAAATATTGTTAAGTTTCTGATGTGTGTGTACACTGATTAATTGACTGAACTTGGTAGTTCTTCAATTCATATCACACACGCCTAGTATTTTCGTGCATTTAGCTGCTGAAAAATTATCAGTAAAGATGCAAAGTAAGTAATTTAGAACTAAATGTTCACAAAGATCAGATACTGAAATTAATAATTCATAAATTTTAAGTAATCCTGTCAATGCATTAGCCAATTTACGAAATGTTAAAACAATAACTTTTCAGAGAAGCTATACCCCTACTGATTAGAAGAAATGCTGTGCTGCAGCAGATCTGCATATATATATTTAAATTCTGTAAACATAAATAACTATCCAAGTAAGTTGCTATAGGTATGGCTGTCTTTCATTGAAAATACTTAGTTACATAAATGTTGGGAAAAAAAAGACAAACAAAAGGTTTTATACATTTTATTTCTACACTAAATCAAGTCACACATAATATAACACAGAATCAAAACATATTGCAGGAATGCACTTTAATCATCACTCTCTGTTGGCATTTAGTGAGGAAATAAAACTGTTGCCACTTACACTGTCTATAAATAGCTATTGAAATACAATATCCCTCAATATCTGTTTGTGGGTGGGAAACATCCAATAGAATTCATTCCTCAAAACAATGCTATTGTCCTGAAGTGACCCCTCAGCTGATAAAGTGGTCAGATCAAGGTCAGACAAGTGTAGCAAGATGGTGCACGTGATGTTTTTGATGTTTTAATTCCACCAAATGTAGGATATTGAACTAAAGAATATAGTTTTTATTGGAAGGTAAGTTCATTTAAGATTATATTTTCGATTTGTAATAAGTAATATTAATATTAATAGCTGTCTATAAGTAATATGAATATTTGTATGATGAAAGAAATTTGCAAAACAATTTTTTTTCCTTCTTAGTGTTCATTGTTTATGTTTTGCCTAACCAGGTTTTTCGTATGAAATGTCTTGTAATTTTTTTTTCCTGTTGTGTAAATGTTTATTGTTTATAATAAGAATTGTTTTGGAAAAAAATAATATCCCATAATTCTAAATGCTTGGTGAAGTCTTCCACTTAATATAGTGCATCTTCATGCTATGTATTTGTGTATTTCATTTGATCAATATTTTTTTATGTTAAAAATATTTATTTGATGTCATCTTTATTTGTATACTTCGTATTTGCAATGTATATGAAAACCCTGAATACTTTACTATGTATGTACATGTGAATACTTTGCTGTGTATATGAAAAAATGTGTATTTATTTCATAGTGCATCAGTGCCTTGAAGGTATGCATGTTGAAAGATACAACTGTAATTTTGGATCATGAAAGATAAATGTTATGGACTGAAACTGCATTACACTGAAAATATTGAACACATGAAAAACTGAGTAGTCTTATTAATCATATTACATACATGTTCTGAGCGGATTCAGCAGGATGATTCATTGATGTGATCATTATCGGTTCGCATTTGAGTAATAACCCAATTTCCACTTTAGAGAGAGAGAAAGAAATGAAATGTGACCTATTTGTATGTTGTTAAAATATTATTTTTAGTATAGGTAGCGGTTTCTTTTTTTATTGTTTGTGGTATGAAATATCGGATTTGTGGCATGAAATGTCAATGTTTGTTGTATGAAATGTTGTCAAAATATGTACTTTTTAATGAATAAAAATGTTTAAATATGGTTTTTTTAATGAAAAATGGTTTCAGAAATGTCACATTTGTATTAAGTTGTAGAATCAATGAAAAACTGAGGAAACGACTGTATTTTCTAATGCGATAGCGAAGTGAATGAAAAGTTTTTGAAGTCGATGAGGAGACGAATGTATTTTCTAATGCGACAAGTAAGTCCACAAATTATAAATGTGGCAACGAAGGAAATGATATGTTCTGAAACTGAGGAAACGACTGTATTTTCTAATGCGGCAAATGTGAAAAATAAGTCTATAAATTATAAATGTGGCCACGAAGAGAATGAAATGTTCCTTATATCTTACCTTTGTTGAATGTATTCTTTCGATAGGCTCGGAGAAAGGCTGTGGTCAAACCGTTTGCGAAACATGCGAGGATTTATGAAAGCAAAGCAGTGACAGAAAGATAGCATTTTGTGATGCATCAGAGTTTATTAATTATAAACCGGCAAAAGCTGAATTTTTTAAATATTTAATTAAATTTTTTTTAATTAAAAAAATATGATTTATTTGCGGAGAAGAAATTTCATCCAGATGATATCCCCACCCCACCCCCTACCTTCCTTCCTTCCTGCCCCCCTTTGGGATTCGAACCCGGGCCTTCCGGCCCGGCAGTTAGCTTCGCTAACCACTGTCCCGTCTGGGCAGGCTAGCCAGTTTCCTGTCCCGCCAGCACTTGCTATGCTTTGCATACCGTTGAATGTTTTCGTTCCAGTTACTCGGAGAAAGGCTGTGACTGAGCTAGTGAAACGATTCGTGATACGTACACCTGAAAACTACGACACTGATATGCATACATTTTGATAAATAGCAAACTTATGAAAAACCACCTGCATTGAAATGTATTAAGGCTGATTTCCGGAAAGCAGTGTGTATATAAGTGAGCTGGGACTAACTGCTAAAGTACAATTTTTCCTTATTCGGTTATTGTGTGTGTATTAGATCCTCATTTTGAAGATAAGAAATTGGATGCAGAGCAATGAGGATAAAGATGATGACTTGTAGAGCTGAAATATATATGATCGATTTCTTTTGCAAAGAGTGTGAATTAATTTTAAAAATGCCAATATGAAATTATAAATTGAACAATGAGTGATTTAAGGATAAGCAGGTAACAGCTAACCTTTATCATATTCTGGCCCTGAAAAGGGCCTTTTTTGATGGGTAAAGCTTTGAAAATTTACTTAGAGCTGGTGTACTTGGTGACAGCTTTGGTTCCTTCCGAAACAGCATGTTTTGCCAGTTCACCAGGCAACAATAGACGTACTGCAGTTTGTATTTCTCGGCTAGTGATAGTACTCCTCTTATTGTAATGAGCTAAGCGAGAAGATTCAGCTGCAATTCTTTCGAAGATGTCATTAACGAATGAATTCATGATAGACATAGCCTTACTCGAGATGCCAGTGTCGGGGTGAACTTGTTTCAAAACTTTGTAGATGTAAATAGCGAAAGATTCCTTCCTGCGCTTCTTCCTCTTTTTCTTGTCACCAGCTCGGACAGCTTTCTGTGCCTTTCCGGCCTTCTTTACAGCTTTCCCAGATGCTTGAGGAGGCATTTTTTAAGAGTCTGCGAATGAACGAAAATCCAAAAAAAGGCACATTGGATGCAGCATATTTATTGAATTTCATTCTTTTCATTTCCATCCAATGAGAAACGTTCTAATACAGCCTATCTTGGACAGAAAAGGTTCATTATAATACATATATATACAAATTATTGTTATTACAATTTCATATTACTGATATTGTGGATTATAGTTACGAGCCACATTTTTTTAAATTTCTAATTTATTGATTTTTTTTTTTTTTTTTTCTTGTTCTTCCCTTGGGGGGTGGGAATCTCTTTTCCAATAGGAAGTACTTATGACAAATAAAACCCCTCTTATTAATAAAAGTATATGACAGATGTGTGCACAAAATGAAGTAATACTCTAAAACTTCGAATTTTGGGTTACTTATTGTTTATTTCGCTATTTGTAAGCGTCAACGGCCATACCATGCTGAAAGTACCGGTTCTCGTCGTCCGATCACCGAAGTCAAGCAGCATCGGGCGCGGTCAGTACTTGGGAGGGTGACCACCTGGGAACACCCGCGTGCTGTTGACATATTTTTTGTCCCCTTGCAAATTTTTATGCTTCCATAGTAATAATAATTATTTAAAATACCTTTTTTTTTTTTGTCTTTATATTATAGGAAACCTGTACTATTATTAGAATTGAAGAAATGCAAGCTTGTATATTGTGCAGAAAATAAGGTAAATATAAATAAAACTTAAAAGTTCTTCACTGTATATTAAAAATTCTTAAAATAAAAAAAGGGAAGAACCTTACTTTATCATACCTCTTTCCCTAATATAAGTATATAATAACGTAGATGTAAATAACATTGGCATTGCCTTTATATTCAAATACCACGTAGTTTACACATGCTACATTTACGATGACAGCGGTATTTCATATTTTGTCTCTACTTAAATATACAATATTTTAATATATGTATAGTGAACTCAAATTCCTTAATTATGAATCAACACAGTGTTTGAGTAGCTTTCTCTAGGGCTTCGACAACGACCGAAATTTTAATATATTCTACGATTATTACAGTATTTTTTTCCCCTGTTGTGTGGGCGGAGTTAGTTCATCTTGCAGGAATAAAATTTCATGTACTTCAGAACTCTTTTGGATTATAATACCGTAAGTATTATAGAAAACTGTTAAAAGAACTAGGGAAATATTCTAGGGAGCATAGACAGGGATGGAAATGACATTAATTGTTTGTAATTCTATCACTCCTCCTAATAATTTCTCCTTATTGGTCGGAACAGACACTAATTTCGTCACGTGACAAAAAGCATAAAAATGCGCGCGTCTGTGGTTCGACCGCAGTATATCTGAATTTACTCTTGAAAGTTACGTTCGTAGAATTTGACCTAGCAGAAAATGTCTGGCCGTGGAAAGGTGGTAAAGGTCTTGGCAAAGGGGGTGCAAAAAGGCATCGCAAAGTGTTAAGAGATAACATCCAAGGAATCACCAAACCTGCAATTAGGCGTTTGGCAAGACGTGGCGGTGTAAAGCGTATCTCGGGCCTCATCTATGAGGAGACAAGAGGAGTACTTAAAGTTTTCTTGGAAAATGTTATTCGAGATGCAGTTACCTATACTGAGCATGCAAAAAGGAAAACTGTCACTGCCATGGATGTCGTTTATGCGTTAAAGAGACAGGGACGTACACTTTACGGATTTGGTGGTTAGAGACCTCTACTTTCCCCACACCCTGCTCTTTAAAAAAAAAAAAAAAAAAAAGGCCCTTTTCAGGGCCATACAAATCTTAAAATTTAGAAATGCCTTTATTGCTGTCATATAATTTCACCTCATGCTTTTCTCTTGAGTCACATTTCAGTCCAATTAAAATTAGCATTTAATGTTCTATATTATGTATTTGAATTCTAACTAAAGTTTAATTGCTTCTATGTCTCTAAATTAAAAAAAAAAAGAGCTGTAATTTAAAATTTCACAAGCAATTACAAATTAAATACAACATTTTAAACTTTAAAAAAAATCCCACTTTAAGTCTTTGAAAAAAAGTATCAATATCTAGAGTAGGTCACACATAGGACTCTCTTCTTCAGAAGAGCAATAAAGGCATTTCTTTTTTAAAATTTGTATGGCTCTGAAAAGAGCCTTTTTTTTTTTTTTTTTTTTCATTTGTACATTTCAATACACAATCCCTTACTTCTTGCTTTTCTTTGGTGTCGCCTTTTTAGCAGCAGCTTTAAGTTTTTTTCGCTTTAGGAGGCTTAGGCTTTCGCTGCCTTTACCGCTTTCTTCGGGCTTTTTGCTTTACTCGCCTTTTTTAACACTCAACTTTCTTAGCGGCAGGTTTCTTTTTCTCTTCTTTAGCCTTAGCTGGTTTCTTAGCAGCTGGTTTAGCCTTCTTGGCTGATGATGCAGCTGCTTTTTTAGGCTTCTTTTTCTTGCTTTCCTGACTCTTTACTTTACCTTTCTGACCGGATGCGCTTAACTTTAAATGAACCGGTAGCTCCTTTACCTTTTGTCTGAACCAGGCTTTCCACCCGCTACAGCACTCTTTAAGTATTTCTTGATGAAAGGTGTCAAACGGTCAATATCTACCTTGTGATGTGATGCAATATGCTTCTTAATAGCTTGCAGAGATGAGCCACCGCGTTCCTTCAAACTAGAAATAGCCTCCACGACCATTGCTGAAACCTTAGGATGCGACGGCAACGCTTTCGGTTTCTTACTCGGACTTTTCTTCTTCGCCTTTTTTGGCGTAGCAGCCACAGGGGTAGCGGAAACAGTAGCAGTTTCTTCAGCCATCTCGCTCACAGTTTTGCAGAGAAATGAATCAAATTTCTGAGTTACTTTAATGTTATACAATAATGCTAGGTGGCGCTTAGAAATCTTTCGTCTGCAATAGGTCTCCTTAGTCACGTGATTGGAAACAAAATTGATAAATAGGCCAGGTCTAAATTTCGCGGGCACATTTTCTCTCGTTTTAACGAAATCGCGGACCTCTCGATATGGCTCGTACAAAGCAGACTGCAAGGAAAAGTACCGGAGGTAAAGCTCCTAGGAAGCAGCTGGCCACCAAAGCTGCACGTAAAAGCGCACCAGCAACCGGAGGTGTTAAAAAAACCTCATCGTTACAGACCAGGTACTGTTGCTCTGAGAGAAATTCGTCGTTATCAGAAATCAACGGAATTGCTTATCCGCAAATTGCCTTTCCAGCGCTTAGTTAGAGAAATTGCTCAAGATTTTAAGACCGATCTCCGATTTCAGAGCTCGGCAGTTATGGCTCTTCAGGAAGCCAGCGAAGCTTACCTCGTAGGATTGTTCGAAGATACCAACTTGTGCGCCATTCACGCCAAGAGAGTCACCATCATGCCTAAAGACATTCAGCTGGCCCGTCGTATTCGAGGAGAGAGAGCTTAAAATCATAATTTGTTAAAAGTAAAAAAAAAAAGGCCCTTTTCAGGGCCATACAAATAATTTAATAAGATTCAATATAATTGCTATCATGTATTCCGTCTTTTTTTTGTACATTAATTTTTTTACTTTACATTAGATCATTCTTTTAAATAAAATCTATTGTGATAGCAATTATTCCATCTAATTAAATTATTTGTAATTTCTGAAAGGGGCTTAAAACACCGAACTGTGCGTTGTAATAACTTACGAAAGTTAAGAATAGAACGACTTTTCAGTACAAATGTATACAGCAAGATGGCGCCACTTCTCAGATGCGCCTTAAACTCCCTTCACCTATAGCTTTAGCATTAGCCTTTCTTTCCGAGTCCCATGAGTTAATGTTTTATAATGTACATGAAAATATATACGAATGTGTCCTGGGAGCACATCTTTGTGCGAATTTTGAATGAAATATATATATGGAAAAGATTTAGCCAACGTATGCTGCAATTTTCAGTATAAGCAATTAAGCATTCTCTTCTTCGTACATTTTCTGGCCCTTAAAAGGGCCTTTTTTTTTTGTAAGCGTTAGGGGAAGTAGGAATTATGCTTTCTTTTCGGTTTTTTTGGGAAGTAGAACAGCCTGGATATTGGGTAGAACTCCACCTTGTGCAATTGTGACGCCAGAGAGTAATTTATTCAACTCCTCGTCGTTTCTGATGGCCAGCTGCAGATGTCTTGGAATTATTCTGGTCTTCTTGTTATCTCTAGCAGCATTACCGGCCAACTCAAGAACCTCAGCTGCCAAATATTCTAAAACTGCAGCAAGATACACTGGAGCTCCAGCACCAACTCTTTCTGCATAATTTCCCTTTCGCAGAAGACGATGGATACGACCTACAGGAAACTGAAGACCAGCACGACTGGACCGAGTCTTGCTCTTCCCCTTTACTTTGCCACCTTTTCCACGACCAGACATGACGATATTATTTGTGGGGTATACGAAATAATGACTGGCGACGGTCCTGGACAGACATTTTTATCAACTCTGTACTTATTATGTCTGGCCAATCAGATTCCCGAGTTTTGAATCCGAATAGAATCGTAGCCTCGCAATATTTGTTACGTACTCATCGTTGAAACATGAATTGTCATTCCTCTTGATTCTTCTCTAAATTATTTAAACCTGTTATATCAAATTTTACTGTACTGAGTAAAAGCATTTCATGACCAAGTATTCATAATTACAGAATATTATTCTTATTAAAACTAATGTATATTATATACATTTAATTTTACTGGTTATTCCTTCTCTTTCAACTAGCGAAATGCTTCATTATACAAACTTCTGGCATATAGTTTCACTGTATATATGCACTCCTACTGTACTCCTACTGTATATATGCACTCCTACTACTTCACTGTATATACTACTCCTACTACTACTGTACTACTACTACTACTACTGTACATATAGTTTCACTGTATATATGCACTACTACCTATATATGCACTCTACTACAAGTAGAGTGAGTAACTAGTTGTGTATACGAAAAAAAAATTAAAAATGTATATATACTTACTTTAAAAAAAAATTAAATAATATGAATCTATAAAAGGTACACAGTACACGGTCAACATTTCTTCGCCAGAATAGGTAAGCACAAGTGCTGTAGAAAAATCTGCACAAGAATGAATATATTGTGAACCAAAAGAGAATTTAAGAACTCCTTCAATTCCAATTTAGTGTTCTATCCCGGTTGCATCCAAGATACCCGAAGCGAAATCTACCTATTAGCCAGTCAGGGGACATCTTATCCACTTCAAAAACCCTTCTCAGTTCACAACCAAAATCCCTAAAGAAGCTGTAAGTGCTGTACATACCGAAAACGTAGTTGATTTCTTGACATTTTTAACAGTTATTGAGCTGTTAGAAAAGAAAATATAATGCAATCTTCTTTTTTTTTTTTTTGTTTTCCATCTTCTTCAATTGCCTATATTTTTTGCCTTGCACTGAGGTAGTTTGGCAGAATTTGTTTATATGAAATCTCTTAAATTTATTTCTCAGTTAATTTATTGAACTCTATTTTTCGGAACAGTGAAGTAGTATTCATTGAATAAATATTGTTAAGTTTCTGATGTGTGTGTACACTGATTAATTGACTGAACTTGGTAGTTCTTCAATTCATATCACACACGCCTAGTATTTTCGTGCATTTAGCTGCTGAAAAATTATCAGTAAAGATGCAAAGTAAGTAATTTAGAACTAAATGTTCACAAAGATCAGATACTGAAATTAATAATTCATAAATTTTAAGTAATCCTGTCAATGCATTAGCCAATTTACGAAATGTTAAAACAATAACTTTTCAGAGAAGCAATAATAAATAACTATCCAAGTAAGTTGCTATAGGTATGGCTGTCTTTCATTGAAAATACTTAGTTACATAAATGTTGGGAAAAAAAGACAAACAAAAGGTTTTATACATTTTATTTCTACACTAAATCAAGTCACACATAATATAACACAGAATCAAAACATATTGCAGGAATGCACTTTAATCATCACTCTCTGTTGGCATTTAGTGAGGAAATAAAACTGTTGCCACTTACACTGTCTATAAATAGCTATTGAAATACAATACATCCCTCAATATATGTTTGTGGGTGGGAAACATCCAATAGAATTCATTCCTCAAAACAATGCTATTGTCCTGAAGTGACCCCTCAGCTGATAAAGTGGTCAGATCAAGGTCAGACAAGGTGTAGCAAGATGGTGCATGTGATGTTTGATGTTTTAATTCCAACCAAATGTAGGATATTGAACTAAAGAATATAGTTTTTATTGGAAGGTAAGTTCATTTAAGATTATATTTTCGATTTGTAATAAGTAATATGAATATTAATAGCTGTCTATAAGTAATATGAATATTTGTATGATGAAAGAAATTTGCCAAAACAATTTTTTTTCCTTCTTAGTGTTCATTGTTTATGTTTTGCCTAACCAGGTTTTTCGTATGAAATGTCTTGTAATTTTTTTTTCCTGTTGTGTAAATGTTTATTGTTTATAATAAGAATTGTTTTGTGAAAAAAATAATATCCCATAATTCTAAATGCTTGGTGAAGTCTTCCACTTAATATAGTGCATCTTCATGCTATGTATTTGTATTTCATTTGTATTCAATATTTTTTTATGTTAAAAATATTTATTTGATGTCATCTTTATTTGTATACTTCGTATTTACGATGTATATGAAAACCCTGAATACTTTACTATGTATGTACATGTGAATACTTTGCTGTGTATATGAAAAAATGTTGTATTTATTTGATAGTGCATCAATGCCTTTGAAGGTATGCATGTTGAAAGATACAAACTGTAATTTTTGGATCATGAAAGATAAATGTTATGGACTGAAACTGCATTACACTGAAAATATTGAACACATGAAAAACTGAGTAGTCTTATTAATCATATTACATACATGTTCTGAGCGGATTCAGCAGGATGATTCATTGATGTGATCATTATCGGTTCGCATTTGAGTAATAACCCAATTTCCACTTTAGAGAGAGAGAGAAGAAATGAAATGTGACCTATTTGTATGTTGTTAAAATATGTATTTTTTAGTATAGGTAGCGGTTTCTTTTTTTTATTGTTTGTGGTATGAAATATCGGATTTGTGGCATGAAATGTCAATGTTTGTTGTATGAAATGTTGTCAAAATATGTACTTTTTAATCAATAAAAATGTTTAAATATGGTTTTTTTAATGAAAAATGGTTTCAGAAATGTCACATTTGTATTAAGTTGTAGAATCAATGAAAAACTGAGGAAAAACGACTGTATTTTCTAATGCGATAGCGAAGTGAATGAAAAGTTTTTGAAGTCGATGAGGAGACGAATGTATTTTCTAATGCGACAAGTAAGTCCACAAATTATAAATGTGGCAACGAAGGAAATGATATGTTCTGAAACTGAGGAAACGACTGTATTTTCTAATGCGGCAAATGTGAAAAATAAGTCTATAAATTATAAATGTGGCCACGAAGAGAATGAAATGTTCCTTATATCTTACCTTTGTTGAATGTATTCTTTCGATAGGCTCGGAGAAAGGCTGTGGTCAAACCGTTTGCGAAACATGCGAGGATTTATGAAAGCAAAGCAGTGACAGAAAGATAGCATTTTGTGTGATGCATCATAGTTTATTATTATAAACCGGCAAAAGCTGAATTTTTTAAATATTTAATTAAATTTTTTTTAATTAAAAAAATATGATTTATTTGCGGAGAAGCAATTTCATCCAGATGATATCCCCACCCCACCCCCTACCTTCCTTCCTTCCTGCCCCCCTTTGGGATTCGAACCCGGGCCTTCCGGCCCGGCAGTTAGCTTCGCTAACCACTGTCCCGTCTGGGCAGGCTAGCCAGTTTCCTGTCCCGCCAGCACTTGCTATGCTTTGCATACCGTTGAATGTTTTCGTTCCAGTTACTCGGAGAAAGGCTGTGACTGAGCTAGTGAAACGATTCGTGATACGTACACCTGAAAACTACGACACTGATATGCATACATTTTGATAAATAGCAAACTTATGAAAAACCACCTGCATTGAAATGTATTAAGGCTGATTTCCGGAAAGCAGTGTGTATATAAGTGAGCTGGGACTAACTGCTAAAGTACAATTTTTCCTTATTCGGTTATTGTGTGTGTATTAGATCCTCATTTTGAAGATAAGAAATTGGATGCAGAGCAATGAGGATAAAGATGATGACTTGTAGAGCTGAAATATATATGATCGAATTTCTTTTGCAAAGAGTGTGAATTAATTTTAAAAATGCCAATATGAAATTATAAATTGAACAATGAGTGATTTAAGGATAAGCAGGTAACAGCTAACCTTTATCATATTCTGGCCCTGAAAAGGGCCTTTTTTGATGGGTAAAGCTTTGAAAATTTACTTAGAGCTGGTGTACTTGGTGACAGCTTTGGTTCCTTCCGAAACAGCATGTTTTGCCAGTTCACCAGGCAACAATAGACGTACTGCAGT